TGGGTGCTCCCATGTTGGGGGCGTAGATATTTACAACTGTTAGATCTTCTTGTTGGATAGGCCCTTTAAGAATGATGTAGTGTCCTTCTGTGTCTCTAACTACAGTCTTTAGCTTAAAATCTAATTTGTCTGATATAAGAATTGCTACCCCAGCTTTATTTTGAGGTCTGTTGGCATGGAAGATAGATCTCCATCCCTTCACTTTCAGTCTGGATGTATCTCTAGGTTCAAAATGAGTCTCCTATAGACAGTGTATGGATGGGTCCTGTCTTTTTATCCAGTCTGCAACCCTCTGCCATTTTATGGGAGCATTTAGGCTGTTCACGTTGAGAGTCATTATTGAAGGATATGAATTTATTGTCATCATGTGGGCTGTGAAGACCTTGTTTTAATATTGTCCCTGTAAATTTCTGTTGTATATCACACTTGGGGTCTTTCTCCTTTTATAGAACCCCGCTTAATATTTCTTGCAGGGCTGGCTTAGTGGTCACATATTCTTTCAGTTTCTGCTGGCCTTGGAAGCTCTGCATCTCTCCATCCATTTAAATGACAGCCGTGCCAGATGAAGTATTCTTGGCTGCATGTTCTTCTCATTTAGTACCCTGAATATGTCTTGCCAGGCCTTTCTGGCTTGCCAGGTCTCTGTGGATAGGTCTGATGTTATTCTGATGTTCCTCCCTCTGTATGTAAGGAATCTCTTCCCCCTAACTGCCCTTAAGATAGTTTCCTTGGTTCTAGGATTTGCCAGTTTTACTATTACATGCCGGGGTGTTGGCCTGTTTTCCTTAATCTTGGGAGGGGTCCTCTCTGCCTCTAGGACGCGAATGTTTGTTTCATTCCCCAGATTAGGGAAGTTCTCAGCTATGATTTGCTCAAATATATCTTCTAGTCCTCTCTCTCTCTCTCCACCCCCTCAGGGATTCCAGTAATTCTGAGATTGGAACGTTTCATGGTGTCACTTATTTCTCTGATTCTATTTTCATGGATCCCGAGTTGTTTTTCCCTGGCCTCCTCATTTCCCTTTTTGTCTATTAATTAGTCTTCTAGGTCACTAATTCATTCTTCTGCCTCACTTACCCTAGCTGTTAGATTATCTAGATTAGATTTGATCTCATTGATAGCATTTTTAAATTCTGCCAATTCAGCTTTCATTTCTGCCCTTAGCGATTCTGTGTTGCCATTAATTGATTTCTCCATTCTAGCCATTTTCTTCACAATTGCTAGCCTGAATTCCATCTCTGACATCTTGGTTATATCTGAATCGATTTGTAAATCTGTGGCATAAGTCATAGTCTCTGAGTCTCTTTAAGGGCTTGGACTCAGCTTCCTCTTGCCCTTGGGGCTCTCCCAGACCCAATCCTGTTGATTTTTTAAATTCCAGGTTTTAAGTCCTGCTGGGTGTAAGAACTCACAAAGTTTGGACCCTCTGGTTTTCAAAGCCAAATGTTATGAGGGATTTGTCTTCCTCACAGGGGTTTCCCGATGCGAGGGTCTGTTTCTCTTCCTTCTCCAGGCCTTTGGCTCCCTCCCTCCTGTGGGTGGCCCATGGGCCCATTTTGCTCTCCATCACATCTCATTGTAGCCTCTTCTCTACCTTTATTTGTGGAATTTGTTCTGCCAGTCTTTGGGTCATTTTCTGGGTTATTTACACTGATGTGAATGTTACCTTGTTGTATCCGTGGGAGGAGGTAAACCTGGGTTCCTCCTACTCTGCCATCTTCCCTGGAAGTCAGAATCTTTTTATCAGTTGGGTTTTGACAAAGGTGCCAAGGTAATTCAGCACTTGAAAGATATTCTTTTCAATAAAATATGCTGAAACAATGGGCTATCCATATGGAAAAACATGAACTTTTGCCTTTAGCTCCTATAACACAAAAATTAACTTGTAGTTGATCTCAGCACAAATCTAAAAGCTAAATCTATATATCTTCTATAAGAAAACAGAGAAAAATCTTTATAAGGGTTTCTTAGTGCAAAGCATAAACAAGATGCAGATTGGGAGGAAATTATGAATGTGTATATTACATATCTAATGTATGTGTGTGTATATATCTGACAAATTATCTAGATATTTTTATCTAAGTTTTTTATCTAAATTTTTTTCAACTCAGTAATTAGACAAACACCCACTTCAAAATGAGCAAAAGATTTGAATTTGACCAGGCACTTCACAAAAGAGAATGTGGAAGGTCAGTAAGGAGATGAAAAGATGCTTAGCAGAAGTGATCTTAATGGAAATGCAAATTAAAACCATAATAAGACGCTATTACACAAACATTTGCAAATGCCAAAAATTAAAAAGATAAAAGGCTCCTGGGCTCCTGGGTGGCTCAGTTGGTTAAGCCACTGCCTTAGACCAGGTCATGATCCTGGAGTCCCGGGGTCCTGGATTAGGATCAAGTCCCGCCGCAGGCTCCCTGCCAGCCCTCCCCCCTCTTGTGCCCTCTCTCTCTCAAATAAATAAATACAACATCTTTTTTAAAAAAAGATAAAAAAATGTGGAACAACTAGAACTCCTGTATTGCTAGTGAGAATGTAAAATGGAGCAACTGCTTTGGAAAACAGTGGAAGTTTAACATACACTAATCATATGATCCAGCAATTTCCATCCTAAGAATTTATCCAAGAGAAATCACGTATGTTTACAGAGAGACTTGTATATAATTTTTTAACACCTTTGTTTATAATAAGCAAAGAATCGGATCACCTGTGTTCATCAGTAGGTGAATGGATAAGTGAACCTGTGATGCATTCACACGGTGGAATACAGCTCAGCAGCAACGTGGAAAAGTCTCAAAAACGTGCTGAACAAAAGAAGCCAGGCACAAAAGAATACATAGTGTAGGACTCCATTTATGGGAGACTAGAAAAGACAGATCTAATCTTCAGTTACATAAAGCAGAACCGTGGTTGCCAGGGGCCAGGAGTGGGGGGGATCAACTAGGAAAGACACAAAGGAATCTTTTAGGGTGACAGAATTCTTCCATATCTTGATTTTGGTGGTATTTAGAAAGGTATATATATTTTTTAAAACTCAGTGAACTGTACACTTAAGAATAGGTATATTTTTTCTTGTAAATTATACCTCAATAAAATTGGTTTTAAAATGCAGAACAAGTTAATAAACCGAAAATAAGAAACTCAGGGGATGTACTAAGTTATTAGATTAAACATGGCCAAAATAATCATTAGCTCATAGGTAAATGTAAGATAGTAACTGAAATGTAGCACAGTATAATGAATATATTAAAAATACGAGAGTTTAAAAGAAATCAAGAATATGATGAGGTCTGCTGTCTTTCAGAAGGAGGTATTTAAAATGGGAAAGGGGTAGGGTGCCTGGGTGGCTCAGTTGTTAAGTGTCTGCCTTTGGCTCAGGTCATGATCCCAGGGTCCTGGGATCGAGTCCCACATCGGGCTCCCTGCTCAGTGGGAAACCTGTTTCTCCCTCTCCCACTCCCCCTGCTTGTGTTCCTGCTCTCGCTGTCTCTCTGTCTCTGTCAAATAAATAAATAAAATCTTTTAAAATAAATAAAATGGGAAAGGGTTCAAAGAAGTCACAGTTGATAATTTTACAGAACTGTTGAAAGATGACAGATCTAGAAAGGGTGATAAATCCCAGTCAGGGTGATAAATCCCAGTCAGGGTAAATAAAAAGAAACTCATATCTACACTTACAATAACAAAATTGCAAAACTCCAAAGAAGGACAAACATCATCCACTAATGGCCAATATTAGACTATCAAATTTGTTAGTATTGGTAATAATTTTTTTTTTAATGCACTGAGTGATAATAAAGACTAACTTAGAGTTTTATACCCAGCAAAAACATTGTCTAGAATGTAGGTGATATGAAGACATTTCGGACAAACAGGCTATAAAGAAACTTTGAAAGGCTAACGGAAGAAGGAAAATAATGCCAGAAGGAAGGTCTGAGTTTTAGAAAAGATTGGTGAGCAAAGACACTAGTAAAGGTAAATGTAAACAAATATTGATAATACAGAACCATAATGATGACAGTGTTTACTTTGTGGGGAGGGGATTAAAAAGGCAGGATATGGACTTAAATTTATTTCTACAGTTTTGCAAATACAGTGTCTTGTTGATCAAAAATAACCAGGCACACCACGAGAGAAAGGCACATGAACAAAAATGAGCCCAAACAAAAGACAACAGAAACAGCTTCAGGAGTTCTTCAATTACTGGTTACCATACACGTTCTTTAAAATAGCCACTGAACGCATAGATTAAAAAATGACACTGAGAATTTCAGCAGAGAACTGGAAACGATGTACAAGAACCAAGCGTGAATTCTTGAACTGAAAATGTAACTGAAATTAAGACTCAGTAGATGGGTTTAACAGCAGTTTAGGCACACCTGGATGGAGAATTAATGAACTGGAACCTTTTCTGTAAAGGGCCAGATAGTACGTATTTTAAGTTTTATGGGCTGTATGCTCTCTGTCACAACTGTTCAACTCTGCTGTTGTACCGTGAGAGCAGCCACAAACAATATGTAAGGGGTTGTGTTCTAATAGATCTTCAGTCACAACAACAAGCCTCGGTCTGGATTTGGGCTATAGTTTGCTGACCTCTGAACTAGAAGATAGCACAGAAGGAAATATCCAAATTTGTGTGAAGAGACGAAGGATGAGCAGTACAGAAGAGAGGCAACTTTCATGAAGGAAAATTATTTCTAGTTCTTTTTTTTTTTAAAATTTTATTTCTTTGAGAGAGAGAGTGAGGGAGAGAGCAAGCACAAGCAGGGGGAGTGGCAGAGGGAGAGGGAGAAGCAGGCTCCCCACTGAGCAGGGAGCCTGACGCGGGGCTTGGATCCCAGGACCCTGGGATCGTGACCTGAGCCGAAGGCAGATGCTTAATGAACTGGGCCACCCAGGTGCCCCTCTGATTCTTTTTGATTTTACTGTGCTGTATTTTGACATTTTGGCCAGAATGACTGTTTTTATGAGAAAAGAAACCGTTGTCTTTCCATTTTCAGACCGTGCATGGGATTTTGGAGAAGAGCAAAGTTTGCAAAGATTTGACAGTAAAGTATGATTCAAGACTTCGAGAAAGAGTAAGTAGCTTACTTATATATTATTCTTCACCATAAATTATCAGTAAACCACCTCAGTTGATCTGATGCATTCTTGATAAGGGTGTGGAATCAGCTAATATATGTTAAGAACCTGCTATGTGACCGTGGCTGTTATATACGCTCATACATAGTATCTTATTTAGTTATTAAATTTGTGTGAGGTAGGCATCCTAAATTATAAAAGCAAAGTCTGCTCATAAGAACTAGTACAAAAGAGTTGGAGGTAAAAGTGCAAAGTTCTCTTGTCAGCTCCCCATCCTACTTCTCAATTTTAAGCTTCAATAGACTTTCTTATGCCCATTTTATATATCAGCAATGACTCTTGCTGAAATGGCAATTTAGCTAAAGCCACATCTCACTTTCAGATCTAAGATTTGACCCCACGTCTCCTCCTAGAGCAGCAGTTTTTGCTCTTTCGTATAGGCCTTTAAGCAGGCTAATGTCCCTGGCAGCCCTGTGATTTCTTCTGTACCTGGATAGAAATGTCAAATGGCTGGGGATCTCTAAAGAATTGCTTTTCATAACTTGCGTGTGTTCTCTGTTCTCATCCAAAATATATACTACAACTTCCGCAGAGATACTGCTTGGAGAGGCTCGCTCTGTGCTTGGGAACCCAGTTCCAGTGCCAGACAAGCATCGTGAGTTCAGCGGAGTGCTGAGCGAGGCCTGTCACCTACAGTAGGGAGAGTGTGATCACTGGCTGCGCTGTCTCTTCTCACTCCACTCTCTTCCTGAGTGGCTTCATCCTCTCCTGTGATTTCAGTGGATGTCCATATATATATGTTTAGCTGAGAGCTCTTGCCTAAGCTCACGTCTCAAACTACCTACTTTTTATCTCCGTGTGTGCCCCACAGCTCAGTGGAACGCACCACCTTTTCTCTCCCCGGCCCCTGCTTTACCCAGTTGTTCAGACCGCACATTTTTGACTTGAACTTGCCCCCCACGTGCACATCCTACCCTCATCTTGTCAGTGCTGCTGTTGTGTAGTAGTTCCTTGACCCACTGCGGCCGTCCTGCTGCCCTCCGTGTCCTCTGTCTCCTAGCTCACTGGGAACAGCGATCCTCCTGTCTTCTGACTGGCGCTCGCTTTTCTCGTCTTATCTCCGTGCCACAGCCAGAGTCGTCTGGAAAACGTGGTTGCTGCGCACCTGTATAGAACAGTGCCCTGTTTCTGTTTTACCTTCAGGAGGCCGTCCAAACTCCAGCCGGGCCTGCCAGCGTGCCGTAGGGTAGGGTCTGCTGCCTCCATCTGCCTCTGTCTTCTTTCTGTGCTCTGTGCCCGGCCTTAATAATAATTAGCGGGCATTTGCACGGCGCTCCCTACACTCTGGCCCTGCTCCGAGCCCTGCAGGTTTGTTAATCTTCGCAACACCCCCATGTGGTAAAGACTTAAAAACCTCATTTTTACAGTTGCAGAAAGCAAGGCACACAGAGGTCAAGTCTGTGCTCAGCATCACAGAGCTAGTGCATGGCACAGCTCAGATTCAAATCGAGGCCATCTGGCCCTGGATTCCATGTCCTGGACCACTGGTGATAGGCCTCTCACGGATCTTCTCAGAGTTGTCCAAGCATCCTGTGCTCTTTCCTCACTGGACTTCCAAATCTGCCCGGGACACATGCTCTCCACTCCTGGCCAACTTCCATTCACCCCAAGGCTTTGGCCTTCTGCAGCCCCCAAATGCAGACTAGCCATCTCTGCTGTGTGTGTCTATGTCCGGTAGTTCCTTCCATTATGGCGCTTTTCCCTTACTGTTCTAGGTTAGTACCCCACCACGCTGCAGCCTCAGCAAGGGTGGGGAGCTGCGTGTCCCTCCTGGTCTCCTCACTGCTCTCGCCTCATTGCCTGACATGTTTCAATGTAGCATTTGGAGTATTTAATGAATGGATGTTTCCGTTCTTGAAAAAACAAACCAAGTAATGATTTTTAATGTTCTCCTTTATAATAGAGGTTGTTCCTGTTATAATTGAGGATGTAAGAATTTGAACTTGGGAATTGGAAGAGCACCTGACAACTGTGCATATGGTCTTATAAAAAAAGAACATTTAGTTGTTGGACTTCTGTCTGATGGTGGTGGTAGCATTTTGGGGCATCATCAGTGTGAAACCATAAATGGTGGTTTATCTCTAAATATTTTATTAAATATTTTATTATGCAAGTAATCTGTTACTATTGTAGGGAATTAAAAGTAAGAACAGTTTGGGGAAAAATACAGTTAAAAATTTATACCATGCACAAATACTGTGAACATTTTGGTATGTGTGCTCTTGACTTTTTTTCGTGTTTGTCAGTCTATCTATCTGATTGTGTATGCATTTTTCTAAATGTACCCCTACTATATGTGGTGGTTTTTTTTTTTTTAAGATTTATTTATTTATTTTAGAGACAGGGGGCGCGAGTGCAAGTTGGGGGAGAGGGAGAGAATCTCAAGCAGACTCCCCACTGAGCAGGGAGCCCGACACATGGGGCTCAGTCTCATGACCCTGAGATCACGACGTGAGCTGAAATCAAGGGTCAGACGCTCAACCGACTAAGCCATGTAGGTGCCCCGTATGTGTTGTTTTTTTAACTAGCTTTTCTCCCTGTGTATTTCAGTGCTAATGAATGCACACGGATATGATCACCTAATCAGTGACTGCATTATTCCAGTATATGGAAGTTGCATAGCTACTACTGGTGGACACCTAGGTTGTGACTAGATTTTCCTCTGATATAAATAATGTTAAAATAAACCTCTTTGTAGTTCTTTATACACATACCTAAGACATTTCCTAGAAGTGGAATTTTTGAGTGTGTTCTTTTTTTTAAAGCCTTTTATACATATTGCTAAATTTCCTTCTAGAAAAGCTGAGCCAATTTATACTTACATGAATGATGTAGGAGAAAGTTTTTCCTACATAAACACTAGCTATTGGTAGTGTCTTTGGTCTTCTAATTTAATAGTTTCTGAAAGGTGCCATTTTAATTTTTACATTGTAGATTTCCTGTGTTTCTTGGTCATTTGTATTTCTTTTGTGACTTCTGTGTCCTTTGCTATGGCTCAGTCTTTACGAATCTAAAGAGCTAATGAGCTTTGAAAACATACAGATCTGGGTTTGAATTTCAACTCTGCTGATTATTGGCTGTGGGAATACTGGCCAGTTGCTTAACCTCTCTGAAACTCAGCTTTCCCATTTATAAATATGGAGCTGAAAATACCCATCTCATAGTGCTCTTGTTAGGATCAAATGAGATAGTACATGTGGATGTGAGGTGGCTGACTTGGTGCACTTCATATGTTGGTCTCTGGCCCTGGAGTCTGTGCAAGTCTCTGTATTTTTCCAGTAAAGCCCCACTGTCTACTTGGTGTGTTGTTCCATACAACCCATCTGGACAGTGTACAATTCAAGGTGTCAACTGTATTTCTAGGGTTTGCAGCCTCTACCGAGTATGTTCTCATTATAAGTTTAAAAGATATAATAAAGTAAGTGGAAAGAAACCCAGCCTCTTGCCAGAATGATTGTCCCAAGTTTGCTGTAAGCATGTACTTAATCGATGTATCACAAGTTCATTTGAGGCACTTTTGTCTTTTGGACCATTACAGAAATACGGGGTTGCAGAAGGCAGGGCCCTAAGTGAGCTAAGGGCAATGGCCAAAGCAGCTGGGGAAGAATGCCCTATGTTCACACCACCCGGAGGAGAGACCTTAGACCAGGTACGTAGCCCTGGGGCGAGTTCCCACGTGGATGATCTTGCCAACGTCAAAGTAGCTAAAATTGGGTTTCTTTTGTAAATGAGATGTCTCTAAATCTTAGCTAAGCAGTTTGAAAGTTGTTTGGTTTATAAAACAACTCTGTGCAGTGTGTTTGTTTTTCCTTTTTATTTTGTTATTATTTATTTAAAGATTTGATTTATTTATTTGACAGAGAGAGACACAGCGAGAGAGGGAACACAAGCAGGGGGAGGGGCAGAGGGAGCAGGGAGCCCGATGTAGGGCTCGATCCCAGGACCCTGGGATCATGACCCAAGCCGAAGGCAGACACCCCTGATTTTCCTTTTTAAGCTGTCTTCCTTATTTACTGTTACATCGACAGCCTTGCCAGCACTGGGTGTAAAGGACGTGTGTTATCGGGTGATACTTAAAGGAGAGTCTCGGAGTCTGCAGTGGTACCCACAGCAGTGGTAGTAGTAGGCAGGGGAGCAGTGTGGTGCTGTTCGAGGACAGTGGTAGGCAGAACACTCGAGGCGAAATAACTCAACACTCGCAGTCTTCAAGCCTCTCCTCCTGCGTCTTTAGCTCTGTAAGTGACCCCATCACCGCGCTTGCCTTTCTTTGGAGTGTTCTGCTTTTCAATTGCATTATTGGGGATTTTTTTTCCCGTTTGTTATTTTCATAATTTTCTTGGAAAGACTTTCTATTAGTTTAGTAAAGGCAAGATTTTGTGTCCTTGTTGATGGTTGCTCTAACCCAATTGATGTGCTCTAGATGTCATTACCTAGTTAACACTTTTATGGGCTCCTTTTTCCCTTGTAAATCGCCCTAACTAGATTGTAAGTGCTGTGAAGTAAGGAATTAGACATTGTATCTTACTCTTCTTTGTCCCCCAGTGTGCTTCCATCATTCCAGAAGTATGGTAGGCATTTACTGCTGATCGAATGAGTGGAAACAGAATTTCATCTGCTTATGTAATACTTTATGTTGACATATTAGAAAAATCCAGTCAGTTGTGTTTTATGTTTATGTTTTAAGACAATCATTAATGCCACTTTAATTTCTTTTCTTGTAGGTGAAAATGCGTGGAAAAGACTTTTTCGATATTCTTTGTCAACTGATCCTTCAAGAAGCAGGTCAGAATGAACAGTTTTCCCAAGGAGCTCCAAGCAACTGTCTGGAAACTTCTCTGGCAGAGATATTTCCTTTAGGAAAAACCTGTGCCTCTGAATCTAATGCAGACAGTGGCGCACCAGGATTAGCCGCCAGTGTCTTAGTTGTGAGTCATGGCGCTTACATGAAAAGCCTGTTTAATTATTTTCTGACTGACCTTAAGTGTTCCTTACCCTCAACTCTGAACAAATCCGAATTTATGTCAGTCAGTCCCAACACAGGGATTAGTCTCTTTATCATAAACTTTGAGAAAGGAAGAGAAGTGAAGCCAGCAATTCAGTGTGTTTGTATGTACCTACAGGATCATCTGAATGGAGGGACTGAAACTCGCTAAAATTTAAATCTACATCAAAATTTTGAACTTCTGAGGGAGTGCCTTTGGCTTTGTTTCCATCCTCTGCTAGCACTGATTTGGAAACAGTTAAAAAGCTATTACAGCAGGTTATAAAGCTTGAATGGAATCGTGGCCACAGAGAATACTAATGGAAACCATTTAGGACTGACTTATTTTCTCTTGAGTACAGTTGGCTTTTTCCAAAGTAATTTTACCACCCTGTTCAGTTACATCTCTGGATTGTAAATGAATCAAGGAATTCAGTATTGCAAATTGAGGGATTCATGACCTTGTAACTATGTTTTTTTTTTTTTTCATTTTCTTTGTTATTTTTCTTTAATATCTGAAAAATCTAGCCTGTTTTATTGGCTCTTGGGTAAGATACTGTATGTTTTTTACTATATCGTCCAGTGCTTAAAAGAAGGAACTATTTATAATTCCCATTGCATATTTATAGTGAGAACATACTGTATTTTAAAAGTCCTTTAAATTAAAAATTCTTAACCATCCTCAGTTTTATATAAAGCAAAATGACACTAAAATTTTTAATATAGAAATCAACTGTTAGAATTTTTTACTATAGAGGGTTTGAAATGTGGACGAATGGAGATTATGATTGCAGATTGGTCTGGTGAGGAAGAATGGAAAGCATCATTTGACTAAGAAACATTGAAGAAGGAATCTCTGCGCAAAAGACAAAAGAGCATCTCTTTCTTATCTAACTAATACGCTGAAGAATTTAGTTTGGGGAAGGCTCTAATGAGAGTAAATGGTTACTTGTGTACTACACAGTAACCTCAGAAGGAAGGGGGATGCTTCCTTGGAAAGAATGTTGCTCCGGTAACCCCAACTGTGGGGTTTTGTGGAAGGTGCAGTTGCCTCTTTTTTCCACCAGATGGCACTGGAGCAAAGGGATTTTGGTTAACTGAATTTTGTACACAAGATCGGCCCCTCAAAAAATCCTCACCGAAATGAAAGTGTTTTCCATGTGGTTTGCTTTTAAGTTATCATGCTGATGAATGCTGAGTCCCACCTCACAAGAGTGTTAATACTAAAGTTTGTCAGTTAAGGCCAAAATCACGTGTAGTCCAAATTTACCGTGGACAGCTTGTAAGTCCTAGGTAACGTTCAGTGTTAGCAGTGTTCTCAGCGGGTCCATCCGTGCCCCTCTCCTGTCAGCGTTGGAAGAGAGCTTGTGGTTGAGCACTAGAGGGAGGGCTCTGCAAGAGAGAACTTGAAAAGGCAAGCGAAAAGGACAAATAATAATAAATATAATAAATGTCCGCATTCTCACCATCCAGAAGTAATAACTCCCCCGCTTCCTTTTTGCTTTATTATTATTATTTTTTTTAACGAAGTAACACACTGAGATGTAAGTGAAGTTCCTTTAACCAGTCCCCGCAGTGCCGTGTCCTCTTGTACTCTGCAGAGGCCACCACCGCGGTGCATCTGTGCGTACGTTCATCTGTTCCTGACCATTTACCTACGATCCTAAGGAAACGGAATTGCTTCAGTGTTTTTTCAAATGTACATAAATATCATCAATCGGTATTCTGTATTTTCAATTACTATATCATGGGGTTCTATCTATGTTGCTATGTATATATGGATGTGCTTACTATCACTGTATTCTATTAAATAAATGTGGCACATTTTGTTCATTTGGTCTCCTGTAGTGGACATTTGGGTATATTCAGTATTTTCTTTCAGGGAACAACCTTCTGTGGCATAAAAAATGTGCATCTCCAGTTTGACAAGAGTCAATGGGTTTTCAAAGTTGCCGGCCTGGTTTTCAGTCTCACTGGCAATTTTCAAAAGTTCCTATTTTTTATGTTTCTGCCAACACTTGATGCTGTCTGATGAAATTCTGCGAATCTGATGAGTGAAAAGTATAATGTCATTGTTTTGACGAGCTTGTACGTGATTCCTAACGAGTCTGGGCATTTTTCTCATATGTACTGACAGGATCCCCTCACTGGTGAATCACTGGTCTATATGCTCTTTGCCCCGTTTTCTGTTGGACTCTTTGGCTTTTTCTTAGTGAGCTGCAGAGGTAACATTGCACATGTCTTCCAGTTTACTTGCCTTTTACATGACGTTTATTAAGCATTTTTTTCATATAAGTGTTTTTCGTTATTAAGTCAGATCATTGTGTCTTGTCCATTATCGTATCCTACTAGGAGGTCATATAATGGCTTCCTACTTTCTTATATTTTTAAAGGATTTTTTGAATGCTAAATCTTTAGATTATCTGGAGATTATTTTTGTATGGTATATGGTAAGAATTCAATTTTATATATATTTTCCTTGTGGTAAAAAAGTTACCCCAACATCATTATTATATTTGCTGGAGTCTGTGGGCTTAGTTCTGTTTTAGTGAGCTATGTTTTCCCATAACAGTATCATACTTAGTTACTGTAGCTTTGTAACTGGATATCCTGTAGGGTACATAACTCATCTTGTTTCATTTTCTTTTTTTTTTTTTTAATTGAAGTATAATAGTGTTTTATTTGTTTCAGGTGTACAATATAATGATTCAACAGTTCTATACATTACTCAGTGTTCATCATAAGTGTACTCATAATCCCCTTCACCTTTTCCCCTATCCGCCCCCCCCCCAATCTCCTGTCTGGTAACCATCTGTTTTCTATACTTCAGAGTCTGTTTTTTTGTTTGTCTCTTTTTTCTTTGTTCATTTGTTTTGTTTCTTAAATTTCACATATGAGTGAAGTCATATGGTATTTGTCTTTGTCTGATTTAGTTCACTTAGCATTATACCCTCTAGGTCCATCCATGTTGTTGCAAATGGCAAGATCTCTTTTTTATGGCTGAGTAATACTCCATTGTATATATATACAGCATCTTCTTTATTCATTCATCTGTCAATGGACACTTGAGTTGCTTCCGTGTCTTGGCTATTGGAAGTAATACTGCGGTAAACATAGAGGTGTATTTATCTTTTTGAATTAGTGTTTTCATATTTCTTGGGTAAATACCCAGTAGTGGGATTACTGGATCATATGTTAATTCTATTTTTCATTTTTTAGGAAGCTCCATACTGTTTTCCACAGTGACTGCACCAGTTTGCATCCCCACCAGCAGTTCCTCCACAGAGGTTCCTTTTTCTCTATGTCCTCGCCAACACTTGCCATTTTGTTTTTTTTATTTTAGCCATTCTGACAGATGTGATACCTCATTGTGATTTCGATTTGTGTTTTCCTAATGATAAGTGATGCTGAGCATCTTTTCATGTCTATTGGCCATTTGTCTGTCTGCTTTGGAAAAATGTCTATTCAGGTTGTCTGCCCAATTTTTAATTGCATTATTTACTTTTTTGGTGTTGGGTTGCATTAAGTTCTTTATATATCTTGGATATTCACCCCTTATCAGATATATCATTTGCAGATACCTTCTCCCACTCGGTAGGTTGCCTTGTCGTTCTGTTGATGGTTTCTTTGCTGTGCAAAAACTTTTTATTTTGCTATCGTCCCGTAGTTTAATTTTGCTTTTGTTTCTCTTGCCTGAGGAGACATATCTAGAAAAATGTTTCTATGGCTGATGTCAAAAAATTACTGCCTATATTTTCTTCTAGGAGTTTTATGGCTTCAGGTCTCACTTGTGGTCTTCAATGCATTTTGGGTTTGTTTCTGTGTGTAAGAAAGCAGTGCAGTTTCCTTCCTTTGCATGTGGCTGTGCGGTTTTCCCAGCACCATTTGTTGAAGACACTGTCTTTTTCCTGTGGCACGTTCTTGCCTCCTTTGTTGTAGATTAATTGACCACATATGTGTGTGGGTTGATTTTTGGACTCTATTCTGTTGTATTGATCTATGTGGCTACTTTTGTGCCATTTTTGTTTCATTTTTATAGTTGTCCTAGCTAATTTTGTGCTCCTTTATTCTTCCATATACGTTTTAGAATCCGTTTCCAGAAAAATTCAGTTGCAAGTTTATTTGGAATCCCATGCATTTGTTAATTTATCTGGTCACTCAATACATACTTTCCAAGCATGGCATCCACATGTCAGGCTACTATAAGAACTATTAGAACTATTATAAGAGCTGCAAATATATAGCAGTGAACAGAAAAATAGACCAAGTCTCCATCCTCGTGGAACCTGTAGTCTGCCAAGGAAGACAGATAAATAGGTAACCTGTCAGAGTGTGGTCAGTGGGAGAGAGAAATGGAGGAAGGTAAGCGGAATTGAGATGGGAGTGAGGGTGCTGCCTTATTTAGGGTAAGTACAAGAGGGCTTTCTAAGGTGTTCTCAGAAGGGCAGGGGTGAGCTCTGCTGATCTCTGAGAGAAGATCAACCCAGGCAGGGAGTAGAGAGAATGCCCTGAGGAGGGATCTTGTTTTGCATGTTTGACCTGCAATGGGAGTTGGGAGAATGGTAGCAGAGGAGGGCTAAGGGGATGGGGAGGTGGGGTGGCCCTGAGGCCTACACTAGGGATTATGGAGAGCGTTTATTGATTGATCATTGTCTGATAGGAGCAGTCTGTGACCCAGGAAAGGTTTGTTGTCAGAAGACCTGTGTGCAAGTTCTAGGCCTGGCTCAGAGTAGTTTTGTGGCTCAGCAGCTCTCTTAATACGCCTGAGCTGCTGTTTGCTCACACTAAATGGAGAATAGTTCTAGTAATGTACGTATGTGTGTGTGTTTTGCTAACCTTTTGGCTTTAATAGGTCAAACCTACAGAAAAGTGGCAAGAATAATACAAGGGCTGCCTGTATACCCTTTACCAAGATTCCCCACTTGCTTACTTTTTGCCAAATTTGCTTTGTCATTCACTGTGTGTGTGTGTGTGTGTGTGTGTGTGCGTTTTACCCCTGAATGTGTGTGTTTCCTAAGAGCAAAGATGTTCTTCTAGAAAGCCACAGAATAAATACCAAAATCAGGGGATTTGATACTGATATAATCTATTATCTAATCCACAGACCGTATCTAAATGTTTCCAGTTATTCCATTGATGTTCCTTAAGGCTCACTTTTCCGCAGTCCAGCATCTAGCCTAGGATCACGTGCTGCATTTAACTGTCAGGTCTCTTTCTTCTCCTCTGATGTGGCATCATTTCTTAGCCTCTCTGTCTTTCTTGACCTTGTTATTAAAATATATATATGTATGTATGTATTTATTTATTGCTTTTTCCTGATACTTCTCATTATCATTAGATTCAGGTTATGCTTTTGGTCCGAATTACCCTAGAAAGGTTGTGTCCTTCGTGAGTCTCCTCAGGAAGTCCGTGATGTATCTCCCAAGTCTGTCTGCCACAAAGTTGATATTTATGTGGCTCCTGTTGAGTTTCGGCCCTCTCTTTTAGTCTCCACTGATTATTTTGTAACTCTGTTTTTGTTTCTGTATTTATTAGTTGGTAGTCTACAGTAAGAAAGAACTTTCCCTTCTTCCCTATTTAATTATAGCACCGTGAACTCAGGGGTATTCAGTGACTCAGAATCCGGTACTATTGTTATTTTGTGCTCAGATTGTCCCAAATTTGTCCTGTGGGGGCCCTTTCAAGATGCTTCTTGTGTTCTGTTGATATATTCCCATCATTCTCTAAGCACTGCTTTACTTTCTGGCAGAACAAGATGCTCCCAATGCAGATTAATCTTTTTTTTATAGTAGTTTTTTTTATGTTAATCACCACACATTACATCATTAGTTTTTGATGTAGTGTTCCATGATTCATTGTTTGTGTATAACACCCAGTGCTCCATGCAGTACGTACCGTCTTTAATACCCATCACCAGGCTAACCCATCCTCCCATTCCCCTCCACTCTAGAACCCCCGGTTTGTTTCTCAGAGTCCATAGTCTGTCATGGTTCGTCTCCCCCTCCGATTTCCCCCCCTTCATTCTTCCCTTCCTGCTATCTTCTTCTTCTTCTTCTTCTTTTTTTTAACATATAATGTATTATTTGTTTCAGAGATACAGGTCTGTGATTCAACAGTCTTACACAATTCACAGAACTCACCATAGCACATACCCTCCCCAGTGTCTATCACCCAGCCACCCAATCCCTCCCACCCCCCTCCACTCCAGCAACCCTCAGTTTGTTTCCTGAGATTAAGAATTCCTCCTATCAGTGAGGTCATATGATACCAATGCACATTA